TTTGCAATACCTTAATTTCATCGAGCGTTAATTTCCTATAATAAGGTATTAAATCGGTCCGTGATATACATGCCTAGCGGAAGTGTGGGAGTTGCTCGCTTCCAGTTATGGGCTCCTGGCTCCATAATGGATTGAGATTTTTTGGAAATAAATGTTGGTAACACGCGCTGAACTCAATTGATAGAATTAAATTCGACTTTAGCACGGCAGTAGCGTGACGTTTGAAACTAAGTCGTGCTACTGCGCTCCGTGTAGCACGGCAAGCCTTGCCGTGCTACACGGCAGTAGCTCGACTTGGCTTCAAAGGTCGTGCTACCGCTGTGCCCCGTGCCGAACTCAATTCACACATATGCCGTGATATGTTATAAATCTCGGCATTTTTAAAATTAGAATACATTAACAGTTTGCTCAACTATTGTGTTTTGTTTTCGGCAATAGCCGTTCTATTTAGCCTGCGTACGGCAGACTTATAATTCTCCTAGCTCATCGCCGCTGAGGAGCGTCCTTCAGCGGCGATGAGCGAGGAGAAACGTCTGCCGTTCGCAGGCCACCGTTCTATTCGACTGAAATAAATTCGACGTCTGAAACCAAGTCGTGCTAGTGTCGTACTGCAGTCGAGCTACAATCGAACCAGCTTAGCATGGCAGTAGCGCGACGTTCGAAACAGGCCCTCAATGTATGGAAAACGGACGGTCGTTTTTTTTTTCTCTCGCGGGCGTGTGAGGCCCGCGCGGGCTCTTTACCGTTGAAACCGATTTTGAGATTTTGTTTTGCAGTCTAGTCATATATCCCATTCATGAAAAATCAGTTGTTTTTGCCTCTCGCTTAAAACTTCCAGTGATCTACAAAAAAAGTAAGCAATATGACACGTTTTACAGTTGTATACGCGGCGGGATTAGCTCAGTAGGTAGAGCGCTCGACTGCAACCGCGTTCGATTCTCGGGACCGGACCAACAGTCAGGGTCTTAAAATGGTTGAGAAATAAGGCTGCTACGTTTGCCTTGCAAATGGCTATACTTTCACGTGGCTCGGATGACCACATACAATGGCACTCCCGTCTCTAAAAATAGTGCCCTCAGTTAGTATTTTCGTGCTAAATACAATAACACTTAAATAAAGTGCATATTTTTGTAGTTTTTCTTCGCACATTTGAAAGAACCGGCACGGATGAGTATGAAAAAGCGTGAGGCATGAAAAGTACATCTGGCTATATTTTCTATCTTTAGGTACCAGTTAGTAGCATTAAATTTAATAATCTAAGGTAATTTTTTTATTTTGACAGAAAGGCACGGTTGGAAAATAAAGCTGCCGAACGTTTAGCATCTGCGGCTCCTCTAAAGCCAATTTATGCCGTCCAAAACCAAAGAGGAAACAGAAAATTGACTTGAAGGGCTAGTAGTCTTCCTCTTTTATTCTCAATTCTTGGTTGAAAATTGTGTTTTAAGATCTTGCTCAGAAATAATCGATTTATGTACGTAAAACGTCCTCTAAAATTTGTTTATAAACAGTGCCACTGTTTCACTCATAAAAATTCAATTGGTAAGTCGGTCACCGATATCGAGAAACAAATTTCAATAAAAGTACTCATACCTAACTCTAGAGAAGAGAGGAGAAGTCTCCAGCAGAAAAATTAACCGTTTCTTGTAATATTCCAAACCCAACAAATCAGACTTATTGTATTATACTTTTTTAGTTCTTATAAAACTGGAATTAAATAAATCACTGTATAGCTGAACCTAAAAAGTGAAAAGGATACTACTCGAACATCCGAAATCATCAAGATCAAAAAATAAAATAAACAACCGCAAGCCTTACTCGATTTTTTCGGACAGTCTCATTGTGACTATACCTTATTAGACACTAGCAAATTTTCCTAAAAAGTTCTCTTTGGCGAGGTAGATGGATGGAAAAGAAAGTACTTCCCTCAACATATGAAAAAACTTTCCTGACTTTTCCATCTCCTTTACCAAAAAAATTTTAATGGCAAAACGTACTTTACAGAGTTACCAAAAGAGATGGGAAATTAAGTGGAAGTAGAGGAGTTGGAAACAAATCCTACGTACAACCAGCTTACCTCCCACTTTCAAAATAGTGAGATTTCTTTTTTCTTTTTCTTTTTTTTTTTGTGTGTGTGTGCGTAGTGAGATTTCTTGACAAGTCTCGTTTGGTAGCTTGGATAGAAAGGGAAAACTTTTTTCCATCTCAACTACCAAAACATAACTTGCAAAAAGAAACTTGTCAAAGAAAACTTGCTGGTTTACAAATATCTATAGAGAATGTATGAGAACCGTTCAAATTGGGCCTGATCTCAGGTTAGCTTACAAATGGCAACTCATCGGGAATGGGGCGGGGGGGAGGGAGGAGAAGGAGGGAAGGAGTGGGCAAGAGCCCAAACCCTTCCCGGATAATTTATTCATACATTCATATATCGTTTTATTCAAAAGAGCACCGTGTTGCATGTCCTTTCATGCGCCATTTTTGTAAACGCTGGAATTTTTCTTGTGACCTCCGAGCAAAACTCTGTTTTATGTCAAGGGGTGGATTACCTTGCCCCCAAAAAATTCCAACATGTTTTCATTAGGGAGCTATTTTTTTTTTCTATTTTTTTTTCTCGGCTTTTTGTTTCGAAAGTAAGGGATACAGTCGTGCGAAAGCTTTGTAGCTTTTTTTCTTTCGCCTTCATCTCCATCGTTTTTCCGTGTGGGGCCTTTTGCTTAACGAAAGACGTGAAAAAACACACACAAAAAAACAAAGACTCTTTTTTTTGCGTGCAAAGTTTGCGTTCGCCCTTATTGGTATACATGCAAACGATTTGTGCGCCAACTCAGCCGATGGGCATGAAGGGAAGCTGAATTTTTAATCTGCAAGTGGCGAGAAATAAAACTTAATTGAATATCAGCTAAAATTGCGGCTCAGTTTAATTTTGAGTCACAGCAACGTAAGCGCTCATTCCTTCTTAGATTTTAGTTAACCAATCTAAAACTAGACATTCATCCAGTCAAAACCGTTAAACT